ACTGACGATAAGTGATAGACGTGATAACAATTGAATCTAGTTGATAAGGATCCTTAAAAGGCGAGAGCCCCATGATTCGTCGCCTCTTCTATTCGTTACCTTGGTGTTAACGGTGGAGCTTTGGCACTTTAGTAAGGGATGTGGATTAAGAAGGAACCTTAGATATTCGAGATTAGGATCAATAACAAGTGTATAGTGATTTTCAATGTTTTGCCGTACATGTTTTTACGCAGAAACTGCTTGATTGATCGACGTTTCGACAAATCTTCGTCTTCAGGACCTGAAAGCAGTTCGGAGCTCCTGATATGTGGCTTACCCGACCAAGCGCCCAAACGAGCATACGCGCTATAACTGGCCTTTCTATCCTGCTCATGAAGCAGATAGCTAAGACCGGTGCTAGCCGCTGATCCATAGCAAGTCCTCGTTTCTGAGGGATGTACTGACCACTCCACTTGAAAATATTACAGTTGAGGCATTTCTTGATCAGAGCTGTTATGTGAAACTTGCTCAACCCGGACGTCACAATTTCTGTTTCATGCTCATCCAGCATTTCTGAGACCGCCTGGAGAGCTTCGTCGTTCGTATAAAGCGCATTTACGTCAAACGACTCTACTACGTAGTTTTTCCGAAGCCTACATGAACGCAGACGAACAAGAAATTCATTGGTATTAGGCAGGTGTGAGGGTACGTATCGGAGTAGTTAACCAACAATTTTGTTGAGAAACCAGGAAGTACGGTTCGTTGGTCCTTTTACACAGCTTATGATGGGTCTGATTTTATAAACACTAGCATTCACTGACTTTTCACCTCTTTGGGACAACTTATTAGTCTCGATCAGGCTATAGAAAATCGGGCACGATGGTTTATCCAGCTTCATTCTTCTAAATTGACACCCACAAAGTATTCAGCTTGTGACATTGGGTGAGGAACGCCTTTTCCGTGGAATGACTGCATACAGAAGAATCATTAAGGTGGAGTACCGTTATTTCACGATCTAGTGAACGAGGTAGAACTACGAACTCCCCTCCCTTGTCACTCAAGGAAAGACGAATTTCACCATCGCAACGCGTTTTCGTACCTCCCGCAATCCATCCCACTATTCGTTCGTCATTTTTGAGAACCTTTCGCGACCATGTCTTTTAAAAATTTCAAGTACTCCCGACAAAAGTACCCGAGATTTTATGTCTTGTATGGGCGAAGATTCTGGTTCTTCATAGAAGGAACATGGGAATGGAATAGGCGCCAGCATGGACGCAGTATCAGTGCGCTGAGGCTCTCCGCGCACTGCACTCTTTCTAAGCTGATCTTTCAAGCTATGTAGCCCTGTTACCACCTGACGGTACGTGGAAGATCCAATCCCTTGGGCGATTGAAAGCGATGGCTAAAGACTGAGGAAATCCAGAGCTTTCTCCGATACTAATGCGCCGCCAACAACAGTAACTCGTGCCTGACTTCGCGAATTGTTCACTTGTTGAGTGGTCCTAGCTACGTAGTGGTAGCTCGCAGAGAAGCTGACCTTATTGCTGGAGCCATTTACTGTTTCTTGCCCCTCAGGGTGTGTACTTAGCGCATAGCGTTCATTTGCCCTAGATCGAATAAAGTTACAGACCTCCTTCGAACCACGTTCAAACGCTTTCCAACAACGGTCTGTCAGTAGCCATCTACAAGATTCCTTCTTCGCTTAACATTTTGTCAAGCTAGAATACAATATGTACTGCCTCTGTTTAGCAGCTACGCCTAGGATATTACGGTCGATACTTACGATCCTAGGGTAATCTCCGTTGAGATTACATATTGTTCCTAGCTTCCTATTCATGATGAACCTCGGGAAGACAGTGGTCGACTTGCATCGCTGAAGGAACTGCAGCAATTGGCGGGTGAGCACAATCTTGTGTCGGGAGCGAGAGCTTCACGATCTAGACCGAATACATACGGCAGTACATCTTGTAGTAACTTCCACGTTCGGTGTTCTTGAAACCTGGGCATATTGTATAATGTTTTTCACTGTTTTGCCGTACAGGTTTGTTATTGCAGAAACCGCCTTATTGGTGGACAAATCGTCGTCTCAAGAACTTGAAAGCAGTTCGTAGACCCTGATCTGTGGCTTGCCCGACCAGGTGCCCGAACGCGCTAGCCTAGTTGCAACAGTTCCCAGCAACTTGAACACCAAAAGATCCCATCCAAGAAAACAACCTTTTGCGGTTCCACCAACGTTGTCGTCCCACTCAATTTCGTGAACAAACAGGGCCCAATGAGACACACCATTGGCGGTCGTTGGATAAGAGTTGCGCGGTGTTCTCAAAGCCCACAAAAAAAGAGCGGGATTGAAAGGCCAGTTATAGCGAGTATGCCCATTATCTACTGTCGGTACATCGATGACTGCTGCGTAATAACATCAACACAGCAAGAGATGGATGTATTGTTGACATCCTCAACCGACAGTCACAGTATATCAGGCTCACGAGAGAAGTTCCGCACGAAGGTTGGCTTCCTTATCTGAACAAGCAGATAAAGATCTAAGGTGGAAGGTATCATGTGAAGTGGTATCGGAAGAACAGCTTGAAGAACATCTTACACCACGCTAAGTCTGCTCACCCTGAAGCTGTGAAACGTGCAGTAGTTCGTAACATGTACAGAACGGCTACAGAAGTGTGCACAGGCGAGGTGGAACGGAAGGAGTCACGTAAGCTAGCATGCGAGATCGCAAACTTGAAGGCTATGGGGCAAAAAACAGATGGTCAGGCTCCAGAGCGTATTCGCTTAGAAACAGTGAGAATGTGATGCATCTCCGGCTTCCATTTATATATTTTATATTTATATATTTACATTTGAATTTTTTTTTTCTAAAGCCAGCTCAAAAGTTCGACAATGCATTGCTCGAGCGGATCTGGCGAATGATGTTGTCTTGGTAAACCTGCCTACGGACAATATCAAACGTCACTTTATCCGTAAGAGACGTTATCATCGTGCATGTTCTACGAACAACTGCGTTATTTGTCCTTTAGAAAGAACGGGGATTGCACTCAAAGAGGGACAGTGTACCAAGTTCAGTGTTCAGCCTACGACGGAATATATGCTGGTGAGACGGGAAGGATGTTAGGCATACGTGTCAAAGAACACCTAGCAGATGAAAAGCGCAAAAGCCTTTTTACGCCACTTGGGGAGCATCGAGTAGAAGTACGTCAAGGCAATCATTTTGATATTGAATGCAAAATCCTAGCCTACGAGAACGAGATCGGTGCTAGAAAGAGTTGCATATCCGCGAGAGAAATCCAGAGCTGAACAACCGAAATGAGTTTATTGCCATAACAAGCGAATTTCTGCCGTTCATTTCTTTTTGTGGCCTTTGAGGATACCGCGCAACTCTTATCCAACGACCGTCAATGGTGTGTCTCATTTCTCTGTTTGTTCACGAAAGTGAGTGGGACGACAACGTTGGTGGAACCACAAAAGATTGGTTTCTCGGTTGGGATCTTCTGGTGTTCAAGTTTCTGGGAGCTGTTGCAACTAGGCTAGCGCGTTAGGGCGCCTGGTCGGGTAAGTCACAGATCAGGAGCTCTTAACTGCTTTCAGGTCCTGAAGACGACGATTTGTCGACCAATAAAGCGGTTTCTGCCTGAACAAGCTGTACGGCAAAACAGTGAAAAAAATTATACATATGCCCAGGTTTCAAGAAGACCGAACGTGGAAGTTACTTCAATAACAAGTGTTAGAGACTGCTAACGAGCAATAGAAGGCTAGAGCCACAAGGTTTCTAATCCCCTTCGTGTCAACAGATTTCGACTTTTGATCTGGGTGGCCCTCTCCATGTGATGAAAACAGATTCGGGTACGTACGAGATGACGGTTCGATCTCCAAAAAACTCGGAACATTGGTGACGTGACACAGAACCTTCCCATCGGAGGGGATGTGATCATTTTATTACGAACCTCTGTACCAGATGACTTTAAATTCCATTGCAAAGGAGAGGGTCTTTGAAACTGCGTAGAACCGTAGTCAGCTTTGATCAGCAAAGTGAGCTGAGGTAGTCTTGCTTGTTCATTCCCTTCGTCCTGTGAGATATGAAGTAGTGCTCCTGAGCGGTTCTTCTACCGCTAATCATAGCGTTGAAATCATCAACAACAACAACTTCCAAAGAAGTTTGGTCTTTTTCCGAGCTTCCAGCGTCATATAATTTTCAAGCTGTGTCGAGCCATATAATATTCTTCCAGCGCATCCACGAAATAGCTCATGTGGTATGCAGGTAAAGATTACGATCAGAGCAGGAATACAACTACTTCTCCTAATAGCAAACGACCAGTTTAAAATGACAAGCTCCGAACCACGAATTGAATATTCGCGTACTCGTTTAGAATTCGTTAAGAAAGAATATTTCAAGCCTGTGAAACGGCGTGTAGCCAGCAGTGCCTTCTCCTACCGATCATTCCGATGTCGTTGTTGCCGATTTTCTTGGTTCGCATAATGAGACATTTAATGCACGATTCCATTTTGGAAGTGAAGTTAATATTCTTGATGATTGCTCAATTGGCCAATTTATTGAGTCCCTAAAATTTTAGTTGGCTTTTCCGAGGGTCTACACGAAGCTGCCGCATTGGGTTTTTTTTCAGAGCCAGGCGAATGAGATCTATTCACATTACTGTCTTCGGCTAATGAGTTTTTGAGTAGCTTTCTAGGATCTGATATGGGGGGGGAGGGTGCCTCGAAGCACCTGCCTGAAAATACTTTCCAGTTACTCCAATGCAAACTTTTGGCTGGGCCGGCATGCGGGAAACCAAGCGCTCCGCAAATTAACAACCCACGCATTCATTGTATATACACCTGCGAAAATTGATTCAACACAGCATAAACTGGGCACACCTTGCCCCTGAATCTGCGATTCATCTCCTAGTAGCCTCCTGAAATCACGTCACGTATCCTCGCCATAAACCTGCCAAAGATCTCTCCAGCAATACATATGTACATATATATTTATTAAAGCCAATTTGTACAATCGAATGTTTCTAATCAAAAGTGTACATGCGAAGATATCTATCCAAGCAGTACTGATCCCGATGGTTGACGAAGAACAACTGCATCTTCGTGGCGTATCGATCTCGATCGGCTCTCATCAATGCGTAACGCTCGTCATCAGTGAGATTGTGCACCATCTCGAAAAATCGCGAGATGTTGGCGTCTTTCGGTTCGTGGTAAAGAAGATTCACCTAAATTATTGAGCTAGTGGATCAGTACATTATAGCTTAGATATAGCGCTTTACCGCTAGTAAAAAGTTTTTGCTGACGATAGTTCACCTGCTGAAACCCTATCTCTATTGAATTGTTTCTTCTCGTTATAAGTTTGCATATAGTTTGGTTCTGACATTGAAAGCTTTCCCCGGAAAGGAAAGGAATCTGAATCTTCGAATCTTTCGTAAGTTTACCAATTACTAATCCCTTTAACATATTACCCATGACCATGCTGAACGTAGTTCAGGCACGGCAAACGCAAGGTTCATCTCGACTTCCTATATACAAGGGCCTGATCAATATGCAGGGAAACTGGGACTTGGGTGGTGACAATCTTGTTTCTCTACTGGACCGTAAACGGCCAGCTGCTTCATTGTAATCCTCCTGGAAAGACAACGTGTCAATATGTAACCTTCACCTGTCGAGGGTTTTCGAAAGAGAATGGGACGGGGATGAGAAAAGGAGAACAAATGAAATAAAATCTAGGATAGAAGTGATGAAGAGAAGGGTTTTGAGGGACAGACGGAAAATATCCGCTGAGTTGTTGACTAGAATTTTTTCATTTGAGCCTCAACTGTGACTGACGGTCTCCAAGGTTACATCGCTACATCACACGCTGCATTGTTTTCCTTACACCTTCATGTGCGGTAGTCATCACTGACAATAGCTAATAGTTTGATTCAATCACACTATAGGGAGGTTCGGAAATCATAATACTTAATAGTAAGGCTCCAGATCGGGAAGCATGAGGTGCGTCGCTGATTAAGCACGTCCCCCTTCATAGCTCTACGAGCGCGATGAAACGGAGCCAGGCATGTCTAGTAACGTTAGCTCGAAGATCTCAGTAGAGGGGAATTTCTGAGTTGACAAACTGGATACAAAACCTTTCGAGCTGTCTGTTACCATTTTTAGCGCAATTAATCGCAGACCGCTCCTTCTAAGAAGTGGCTCTCAGGAGGACGCTACCCTTGAGGTAACTGCAGTCTTTGATTGTAGGATTTGAGATATATCCAACGCTGGCATTTCACGATCGAAAGTTGCGAAACCATCATTTTCATTCATTCAAGATTGCTATTCAAGGTGCAGAAGGAGATGAGACATGACTCATTCTATAGGGAAGCCTGTCTTTTGTTCAACTGTAACCTCTCATTTTCTTGAGCCTGCAATAAGTGTTGGTTAGCTGCCGTGCGAATTGTTACCTTTCATAATTTGAGGGTAATTACTGCACGGGAACTTAGCTGTTTACATGTGGCTAATTCATCATCATTTACGATTTACGCATCAGCAAGGTTATCCATATATCAAATTCCTTTCCGTTTTTCTTTCCTTGAGCTGCGAAGAACCAAACTGATGAGGGTTCCCATCTTGCGAGCTCATATTTTATCGTCATCTACGGCGACGATCCCATACCAACATTTCGTCGTCTCCCTGTCTGAGACGACTCCCTAACTCAACCCACGCCCCGAAATGGTGGGCGGTCAAGCGGAACACCGAAAGCGCGGTCCTTACTTCTTTCTATAACAACGTCAAGGACAAGACTAGACTATGTGTCGTGCAAAAAGTAATTCATTATTATTTTGCGCGGTAGCACACACACTTTTCATATCATTTTCTGAAGTCTTGCCCCGTCATCACCGGAGTTATTAGAATTTTTGAACCATTTTTATGTGCTCTGAAAAAACTTTGCGAAAATTCAGTGATGATGCGTGTGCAATGTTGTGATTTTTTGGCAACCCAACGCTGATGGTGAATAAAAAACTAACCTGGCATACTACCACTTTGTTAGACTCCGTGAGAACCATTTCAGCGTAGTCGTATGAGTTCCCTTCTGAGCCAATTACGAGAAGATCGATGATATCACCGACGCGATTTCCGATCAGATTCACAATCCCATCACCACCGCCTGAAACACTCCTTATTTGGTCGATTTCTTTCCCTTTAATGACTGAGAGGCTCATGACCATTTTGACACGAAAAAATGCTGGGATAGTACTTCCGTTATGACGTCTCTTTTCGACAGAACAACTTTGGTAGAACGTTCTATTAGGTGTGTGCATTAATTCTCGCCGTTTTCTGCGTGCAAAAACATATTCATTGCAAAAGTTAAACAGAATGTACATCAATCGATGTTTGTCCATTGTAAGCTACAACTTCTTGCCATCTTTCTGGCAGCTTATTGATTTTGCGTCTGAAAAAGTTTCAGCTTTTGAAGCAATCCAGTTATCAACCCATTCCGACTCTTCTTCAGAATTTTGCATGCGTATATCTGCCAAAATAACTTGAATGGAGCGAAATAAGTGTCAATCCGGAGGAGCTAATGGTAAGTTCGGGGAGTATGCGGGCTGAGCAAGCTGATCCCATCCGAAATCTGCAATTTTTTTATGAACATTCTTTGCAACATGTGGCGTGGCGTTGTCGTGGTGAAAAAGCCCTTATGATGTTTTCTTGTACCTAACGGCCGCTTTTCACTAAGGGTATCAGACAAGGTGTCAAGATGGTGTTCGTAGCGGTCAGCAGTAACACTTTAGCACATGGATTCAGTGGCTCATAATACACAATACCCTTCTGATCCCCATCTGATCCCACTAAGTTCTGAACTACCACTGAATCCATTCCCCCGTGTGATGCTGAACGTCAAGAGGATCTGGCAGCTCCGTGTATAGGCTCATATAGATTTATGTAACTCAATGGATTCAAAATTCAGATTCACCAGCATGAGTGAGGAAATTTCAGCTGCGTACTCTTCCCCCACAGAACGAAGAATGAAGCTCAATTAACTTGGTCCGTGGCGATGTACGGTGTTCCAACGTAGGAGGAATTTCACAATAGATATGTTGCACTAGAATTCATAATAACACAATTTTGAGCTTCGATGGAAACTTCTTGGAAAATTTCTGGAAATCTCCCAGGAAATTTCTGGAATTTTCGATGGCCATAGAATGGAGAAGTCTCTAATCATTGCTTACGATCATCGCGGGCTACCTTTTGCTCAAAGGAAGCTATTTCTCAAGAAACATTCTACCCTACCGTCTCCCATGCATTTCATAGCTTTGTCTGAAATTTATGCGAGGTGCAAATCGATTGAAACCTTGTTTGCTCACTGATATGACCTTTTTTACTGCGAAGTAATGGCACAAGCGCAAAACTAATCTTGACATGACACCGTGATTTGGCCTTTGAAATATTACGAATCCTCCGTCTCGTCATTTCTCTTTTTGGCCCTTGAAAATATTATGACCCCTGTGGCTCGTCTTCGCGATTTTCAGCTAATCTACAGTATGAATCAGTATGAATGTAAATCAGACACATAAGTGACGCCATGGTCGTCAGCCTCGAATTTTAATGGGGGACTTGAATGGGTGTTTTAATGTGAACTTGAAAGACATTTTCTTCATGCCGGCTCAAGAACGAAAACTCTTTTGTGACAATGAAATCTAATTAAGTGTTCCGCTTCATGTCCATGATGTACCCGATGATTTTGCTATCGTGATGAACTGTAATTATAAGCGAAAGGGAATTCCTATGATTTTAGCTATCTTGAACGACCTACTTGAATCCCGTTCGCTACGGCTGGCTAGGAGGCTGAATGGCAAATGTCGAACACGTTCCGATTCGTTATGGGCTCGTTTGTCGTCAATGGCGAGCAGACGACATTTGCTATTTTCCTCCTGGAATTGCCCTTTTTTTGCATAGGTTTTTCGCTGATTCTCTTTCAAACCGACGACTGCCTTTCTACGGCTTCCTCGAGCTTTTTTATACACCACAAAGCTCATCGCCTAAAGCTCTTACCAGCAGTCGCTCCTCGGCGGCGGCGTTTCTGGCATTTTCCAACGATACCACAGTACATGTCGTTTCGGCCAAAGTCTGTAAGACAACGAGAGTCAGTGTATCTTTCCATAGAGGTCTAAGAAGTTATGGAATGGGAACTTACTGTGTTCATGTTTTGTATGAAATAGATGTTGTAAGCATCGTGTGTCGGGTAGGAGCGAAGGCTGATCTGAGCGTTCACCGAGCATTGATCGGTAGCCGTAGGTAGAATTCGCCAGAGCTGAAGGATCGTATAGTTGACGAAAGACGGAACATGATCAAAGGAATGAGGTGCCTTATTCTTACTCGCATTAGTTACAACTTTGTACTTCTTTGCCGAATCCATGCACACTTCTGCTTTTGACCTCCTTTTTTGTTTCTTTACATTTTGATCCTCGATAAATGAAACCGTTCCATTTCTCCCATTTCTTGAGGATCTACCGATGATATAAACTCGATTCTACCATTCATGCTTCTAGTCGAAATTATATCATCACAGACTTCCTTTTTCGGCACTTCAATCATGTCATGAAAGTACCTGCGCTGGGCCCCTTTTTTAGCTTTTTAAGCGCTGCGAGCGCCTCATTCAAGAACCTAGGAGCTTCACTTGAGAGTGTCTTCTCTTTTTCTTTTTCGTCTACAGTATTGATCAGGCTGTCCCTTTTCGATCGACGAGAACGAGTTCGTTGAGATGCTTGAATAGGTATGAGAACACCAGCTGAACAAACCATAAATCAAAGGCTAACCCCGCATCGATCTCATATCGAAGTGGCCACATTGAGGTGAGTCTTAGCTATAGGCTGTGTTCTTTATGCTGATCCGAATCTGTCTCGAGACAAATGAACCAACTTTTTGCGAGGCTATAAAGAAATTTTCTATTTCCTATTTCAACCCAACGGTGGATGCTTTCCAGGATGCCTATAGAGATGGTAACATATACACCATGAATCGATAACTCTATATGGGTCTGATGTGGTTAGGTGATGTTCCCTTGCTTATTGACTTTTCATACAAATATATTGTTAGTAGCTATCAGGAAAGTAAGGGTAAGCGAACTTTGGGCAGCGCTGGGGAGACATGCTGTCTTGAAAGCACAATATCGGATTCAAGTCCTGTATAAGTCTTGCTTATATCTCGACAACCTTATGAGGTCTCGAATCGTATGGCGTCGCAAAATTGTAGCAGTTGGCAAGAAGTTTAGCTTAGCTGCCCTGTTCATTTCAACGTTAAGTTGTTATTCAAAATCGTGTCCGAAGAGACAGCGTTCACCAGCTTCATTATTACTATTTGCAAATGCTAGAGCAGACAACGCAAAAATGCTCAGATGAAAATTCATTGGAAAAGAGGACATAGCCTACTCAGCCCTCTACCGTATGGGCTGCACTTTTCCTAATTGCGAAGAATTAATTAGGATTGTAATGTCAGATCAGATGTTGTAAAAAGTTTGATGAACCAACAAAAACGCTTAGTGCAGAGCTATTCTTCATCCCAAGCATGTCGAAAAAATTGAATTCGCCATTCCGAACGAACCAATAGAGCGTAGTACTTGCATTTTTAGAGTATATCCTTTTACGGTGAATGGCGAAGGTGGTATAGTGGCAAGTGGCGGTCTAACACGCACACACGGTCACTGGGTTCGATCGCGGACCAGTATTCGTTTGGGACAACTGAGCCTTCAATCTCCCCGGGTCCGTAAATGTTTATCAGCCTCTTTAGGGAGGATTGAAAACACTGCTACCGCTAGCCATGGTATACGCTTATGTCGCAACTCTCCTACCGAGAGGAACGTTATTGTGTAGCGATTTCTTACAGACCTAGAATAAAGCGTTTTCACGCAGATATGTGCGTAAAAGCGCAATGGCCTGGGTAAAAACGCATGTATTGGGTTGTCCAAAAAGTTTCC